ATTTAATTAGAAGTTGCAACTTGGATTTTATTTTAATTATTATTATTTTTTTGTGTACTCCAACTTAGGTTGTGATCATATTGGAGGAAAAGAGGTCAATGAAGTTCATAAAGTGTTGATGGTATGGATGAGAACGTGAATGGTCCAAGGGATTTTGATCATGACTTAATGATGCTACTATTGGTGATGGTGAGGACTGTACCAAAAGCCTAAGCTATCAGAAAATGAGCCCAACAATGTATATCAAACTATTTAACACCCTCCTTCACATACAACCCTGTCTTACACGTGGAGAGACGAACATAGAAGCAAATAGAAGGAGAAACAAACAACCAAACAAAGAGGGAGAAACCAAACAGGGATAGAATCTGAGACCTCCCGCAACTAGAGCTCTGATACCATTTTAAGTCCTAAATTTTCCCAAAAGTCTAAATTATTAGGAAATGGGCTCAACAATGTATATCAAGCTATCTATCAAGGACATTGAGGAATTGGATGACACCGTGGGTGATGGGGATGATGATGGAGACAATGACACCAACAATGTTGATTGTTGCAATGATGATAACTTTGCGAAGATGATGACTTATTTTTGTCTCTTATTTGTCCTCTTATTTTAGTTTGTTTTCTTTTTGTTAAGAAAGGATGTGAACGTTATGAAAGTGTTAACTTGAATTGCTGTCATCCTTTGTTATGTGTTTTGTGTCAAGTTTTGAGAAAAGTCTTGAATGATAATTTGATAATTACTATCTCTTTATTAAGGAAAGATGTAAAATGTTAAACATAAATTGCTTATTGTTAGTGAGCAAGGCACACAAGTGAGAATGTGAGGATTTGAACCTTGATCGGCTCATACTGAACTTTATAATTCACAAATTTCAGAGTTGGTATTAGAGCTTTATCATTTGTACATCTTCAATTTTTTTTTTTTTTTTTGAGTCATTCTAAATTTAATACTTTTTTTCATTATTTTAGTAGGATCTTATGATCTTTGATTCGGTCCTACGATCTGATCCGATAGACCCTTGAAACAATCCTGTGTAGGATCCTGATTTTAGCAACCTTGCTTGTTGCTTTATGTGGATGACATGATTACTGGCTTTGATCCTTCTACCATCACTTAGGTGTGGTGCCCTAGGAGTATTTTCTCTCTCAAGCTAAATACGTTAATGAGGTTATCTACCATGCCCGTCTCTCCAATACTAAGACTTTTGATACTTCGATTGATCTTAATGTGAATCTCAACACTGCTGATGGTGTTCCTCCGGATGATCCCATTTTGTATCGGAAACTTATGGGTTGCTTGGTCTATCTGACTATGACTCGCCTTGTGTGGTCAGTCAATTTGTCTATACTCCTTGATCAACGCACTGGGCTGCTTTAGTTAAGATTCTGCACTGTCTTCGGCATACTATCTTCTAGGGCTTACTGTTATCCTCTACTTCTTTGAGCTTATGCTGATTATGATTAGGTTGGTGATGTCACTTATCACAATTCCATTTTTGGTTTCTGTGTTTCTTGGCAATTCCCTCATTTCCTGGAAAAGCAGGAAACAAGCGGTTGTTGTCTCTTGTTGAAGGTGAGTACCGTACTATGACTCATGTTACTGCTGAGGTTGAGTGGCTTTGCTGGCTTTTGTCTAATTTGAGAATTTCTTAGTCTTCTTTGACTTTGCTTTACTTTGACAACAAAAGAACCTTCTAGATTGCCCATAACAATATCTTTCATGAGAGGACGAAACACATTGAGATTGATTGTTACTTGGTCTGTTAGCATCTTCAGTCTAGATCTATTTCTCTTCCCATTTTCACTTCAGTTCTGCAGTTTGTTGATTTATTCATAAAGACTCACTACTGTTCGCTTCCGGTTCCTTCTAGATGAAGTCTATATGTTTTATGGCAAAACACATTGGGTTTGAGCGGGGGTATCAAAATTGTAGATATGCTCCAGATATTATGTATATTTTGTAGATATCATAGATATTCTGGAGATATTGTGAAGATATTATTCTGTGAGAATATTGTAGAGTATTCTCTAGATATTATGTATATTCTAAAGATAATGTAGATATTTGGGGAGATATTATGTTGTGTAATATTCATGGAATTGTTTTCTTTTTTGTTTTATGGTTAGCCTAGGCTATAAATATTGATGTAATTATTTTGTATTTGACATAATTGAATATACAGTTTCTTATGCTTAGAAAAATTTAAAACTATGAACCCTTTCCAGCTCCATTGCAATTGTGTAATGCATTCTAACCCTCAGTGTGATGCCTACATGAATTGGGCTTATGTATAATATAATATTAACATACAAACGTATCCTAACCATACCCGTATCTTATTTTTAAAATTTTACTTTATTGCTGTATTTGTATTGTATTGTGTCCATAACACGTATTTGTATCCATGCTTCTTAGGTGACCTTAATACAAAGCCTTAAGAACCCAATATCAATGTTTGGTTGAATTTTCATAACTTGGTTTTTGAATTTTTTGTAAAAATTAGAAACTACTTTGACGAATATACACACCAAAAAGGGTATTTTTGAATTTTCAAAAAATTATTATGGTGCAATGTCACGACCCAAACCCGCCTCGAGAAGGTTGGCATCGTAACCGGCCAGTAATCCTAGATTACCACAGGCCTTTCTGTACAAAACATACATAACCGGGGCTTGCGGAAGCGAAAACAAAACACTAATAGTCCAAAGAGCTGTGCATTTATATGAACATACATTACATGCCAAAAATGTTAATTTACCCACTACATTACATCACATATAATCAAAATTCATATACAAGACATAGGCTCACGCCTCATGTACAACCAAAACCAAGCTTCCTAACGGCCTTCTAGGCCTAGCCCCAACTCGGAGGCACCAAAACACCGGGTAGGCTTCAAAACGGCGGCTCAGCTCGGACTCCGCCTAGGCTTGACTCCCAGAGTGCTCACCTATAATTACATATATACAAACAATGAGCTAAAGCTCAGCAAGTAACATTAAGGTAAAGGGGTAGTGAACGAATTCCACATTTCATATATCCATAAAATAAATCATTCATAAACATAATCATCTCATATCAGAACATACATAATGGCATACTCCATAGAACATAACATTTGTCGTCCAACGACTAGAGTAACCGGTCCCGGACACCGATTAAACACATACCGAGATCTCGTAAACTGGTCCACTTAGGACTATCTATGGATGCCATACTAGATTCGCAAACTGGACATTCGTTCACAGAAAACATTTATCATTTCAAAACCATAGCATAACGTAGCACTTTTAAACATAGATCATACTAACATATCTTTACAGAAATGTTACTCACAGTGGGTTTCCAAAACCGGTTGCACGGTCTTCGCCTCTTGACCTGCAATTATCAACATTAGAACACATTTCTCCCATACACATAAACCATGAACATGTACATACAAGCTTCATTTCTTACATCCATGGAGGTTCTCCCTCAAATGTGACAAACATGCAAGGAAACCATGATTTTGACCATGAACTTCATACTATTATGCCATAATCTTGAGATCAACATGCTAGAGGCCAAGAAGCAACAATCTATTTCATGAAAATCTTACCTTAGATGGTGAATTGGAGAAGTTAGCTTGCTTTTCCCCCTTTTCTTCTATCTTCTTCTCCTTGGTTTCTCTCTTCCACGAATTCACTCTCTCTCTCTCTCTTAGATATTTTCTTTCTTTTGTTTTGAGTCAAAACATGGTCAACATCCTTATCTATATGTACATATATGTCATAAAAATAGAATTGTGCCATAATCTTGAGCCAAACAAGGCTTAACGAATCAGACGAAATTCAGTCTTCAATTTATTGTCCCAAATGGCTCTAAAAATTCCCGGTATCACATAGGCGTGCTCAATTTCGTTTTCTGAACCCATTACGGTCATCAATTTCAGTCCCCCAAAGTTCTCATCTCAACAGATATTCTTCTAATTCAAACAGATATTCTTCAATTAATTCGCATAAACACATAATTAATTACTGATAAATATGACACATGTTTTGGGGTCATTACATGCAAGCTATATTACATGGACTCTTTAAAATAAATCAAACACCTGTGTTGGACATTTGACACTTGGACAAGGCATGGGATATGTGTCAGATACTTTTCATCGGACACATATATTTGTATTTAGCAATATCATTATATGTATATATTGTTGTATAATTTCTATAAAATGAGTAAAATGCCTTTTTAGCATTGTATGTTACATATAACACCATTTTATCCAACTGAATAGATTAATACTATTGAAATATAACTGCTTTTTGTTGAGTTCGCGTATCTTTATATTTGAGATTTTATGGGTCTGATTTCTAGATATGCACTTGCACCTGCACCCGACACCCCTACCCTAGTCCATGTAACATAGGGTGCAACTGTGCAAGACAGGTTCTACATACTATGATATACTATGCAAAAAATGCTTATAGAATTTGATTTAGAAAATGTGGCAGGCAAATTCATTTCTTTGAACTGACATGAACATTGGATTGATTTTTACGAAAAGGCTGTTCCTCTTGCACCATGAAACACGAAGTTCCAAAATTTGATTGCATTTTCTTGGTTAATATTTTCCTTAATGTATTATGCTTTAGTTGGTTGCAGACTAAATTATTTTTCTTTTTAGTCTTTAATGCTATAGGTTCATTTTGGTGAATTTGTTTTCTAAGTTGGACTTTATTTCTTTTGTTGCATATCTGGACAGACTTTCATGTGTGTAATAAACACAACGGTTCATTTATTATGCTCCTCGTTCAGAGGTGTCTTGTTCATGAATGAAAACATACAGCATCAAGCATCAAGTTTTGCTACTTTTTCTTTCATTATTTTATCATTGTAATCAATGTGGTTAACCCATTAAGGATTTGTGTCATGTTCTGGATCTCCGAACATAGAATTCAGCTATTGATTGCAGTCTCTGGCCATCTCTGATAATCCTAAACTGCATCAGGTGCCTGTTAATCATGTTGGGAATGGTCTGCAGCATAACCAATCTATTCCAAATAGCTCTTTCCTGAGTGGTATCAAACAGCGCTTGCTTTCATTCATATTCCGTGGGATATGGGCTGAAGAAACTGATCAAACCCTGGTTGGTCATGTGACACTCAAATTGTTTTTTATTTTTAATTTAATGATTTAAATTTCATGATTGTGTAGCTCATGCAACTTATGCTAGTCTGCTTAATGATTCTAGTAAAAGATGTGTTAAAACCTACCACTACCACTACCACCTACTACACCTACTCCACCCACTTCACCTACTCCACCTACTCCACCTACTCCACTACATCTACATCTCCTATATAAGGAGTCCCATACCATTTGTAATAAATAACATACAACAATCAATAATACATCAATTTTAACATGGTATCAGAGCAGGTTTAGAACCTAATATTTTCGCTTCCCCGGCGGGCGGCAACTTCACCTTAGCCGCCCACCGGACCTCAACCTAGTCCGCTAGAATTTTCTACACATACCTTCACTCTGCTTCACCACCTCGCCGAAACAAACCCAAAATCCCTCTGGGACATTTCGTCGAACAACATGTCTGCAACAATGATGGGCATGACACACACACAGCCTGATCCACAGACCATGCATCACACATCTCTCTCTCTCTGTGTGTGTTTTTAATGCAGAGCAAGAGAGACAGAGAGAGCCATGTCTTTGCTATCAGATCTCATCAACCTCAACCTTTCGGACACTACGGAGAAGGTGATTGCTGAGTACATATGGATTGGTGGTTCTGGCATGGACCTCAGAAGCAAAGCAAGGGTAATAGCTTTTCTCCCTAATAAAAAATTGTTTCTGGTTATTGTGTATGGTATCTAATGTAATCGATTGTGCTATATAGACTCTTTCTGGACCTGTGAGTGAAAAAAAAAAGCTTCCAAAGTGGAATTATGACGGATCTAGCATAGGACAAGCTCCTGGTGAAGATAGTGAAGTCATTATCTACCCTCAAGCAATTTTTAAGGACCTATTCAGGAGGGGAAACAATAAATTGGTCATGTGTGATACTTACACACCTGGTGGTGAGCCAATTCCAACAAACAAGAGGTTCAACGCTGTATCAAAGCTGGAGATGAATTGTGGGTGGCTCGTTACATCCTTGAGAGGGTCACGAAGATTGCTGGGGTCGTGGTTTCCTTTGATCCCAAACCTATCGAGGGTGATTGGAATGGCGCTGGAGCTCATACCAATTACAGCACCAAGTCTACGAGGAGTGATGGGGGTTTTGAGGTCATCAACCACCGAACCCCGACCATGTTCCGACAAGCGCCTCAGCTCATGGCACGAGCCACCACGGTGGCGATGAGGTGTCACTGCCAGTTCTCCACCGACGTCCCGGTGGAAGCTTCCGCGGACTCGACGTTCGTGGAGGCGTGGAGGAAATTGATACCAAACATTGAGCCACCGAAGACTCCGTCGTCCTTCATGGCTCCTCGCCCTTCTACGACTGCCTCCATCCCTACCAAGCTCACCGTCAACTTCGTTCTTCCTTATTCCTCTCAACAGAGCAAAGATGACCCAAATTATGTTTGAGACTTTTAATGTGCGTGCCATGTATGTTGCCATCCAGGCTGTTCTCTCTCTCATTTTTTTCACTTTCCAAACCAAGCGCGCACCTGCTTTCCTCCTTCATATATTATTGTTTTTCATATTTTTATTAAACCCCAAAAAAAAAAAAATATCCAAAAAAAAACAAAAACAAAAACAAAAACAATTCAGAAAGAAAGAAACATAAACAATAAATTACCCATCCACAAATATTTTTATCTATTTTCTTTATCCATTGTTTTATTTTATTTTATTTTTATTATTAAACCAAACAACAACACAGAATAACACCAACAACCTTTCACAAATTTGTCATTTCTTCATGCCGGGGATCAACCCCGATCCCAATTTTACACCAACCAAAAAAGAAAAAAAAAAAAACAAAAAAACCAAACAAAACCCAAACAACCACATCCACAGGCGGAATTTTTCTTCTCTACTCTGCCGCCGGTCTCTTCTTCTTGCCTCCGTCCTGCGCGGCCCTTGACGGTGCTGCCTCCGTGTTTCCTACGCCGCCGAGCACGTTCACTCCCCCCTGCTCCTCCACTACAGCATATAGCGGCCCTCCAAATCGGAACATAACGGTGGCCTTCCGCTTCAGCTCCTTGTTTTCCGCCTTTAATACACATATATCTGCTCGCGCATCCTTATACATGCGCTGGAGCAAAGCTAGTTGGGCGTTTAACTGCTGCACCTCATTTGTCCTACTCTGCAGCCGGTGCGACAAGTTTGTGACCGCAGTCATGGTCTCCACACATGACTTCAAAGTATACTGATTGGCCTCAATATCAGTTTGCACCGCCATTTTTTGCTCCACAGACCGCATAGGAAAGTTCAACGGAGCAAAACCAGTGGCGCTTGGTTGGGGTTCAAGGGCAACCGTACCAGTTATCTCTTTTGTGGACTCGTTGAGGTTTGGAAAGAGAGTGAGCAGACCACGGGACGAAGAGGCCATATTCTGGGTAGCTGAACGGGAAGAAGAGGCCATGTTATGGGTTGCAGAGTGTTTCAGAATGCAAATGTTCAGATGTTTCAGAATGAAAATGTTCAGAGGTTTCAGACTGGTTTGGTTTACACAGCCTCCGCATTGGTTTATATTGACAATGACGCAGAGGACGACACGCGCTCTGTTGATCACGTGCATCGCCGCGTGTCTGGCGCGGCTTTTGATGGCTCGCCGCTCGATGATTTCTGTCGGGCACGACTTTTGATGACGTGGGCACGACTTTTGAGGGCGCGACTTTTGAGGGCTCGATATATATATATCCATGTATATATATTTGGGCAGCCTATCTACACCATCATACGGTGTCTTCTCCAACGGTCCGGCATGACCCCATAAACTGTCCCGACATTGATTCCGGTTAGCTTTTCCAACGGTCCGACATGACCCCATAAACTGTCCCGACATTGATTCAGGTTAGCTTTTACAACGGTCCGACATGACCCCTAAACTGTCCCGACATTTGATTCCGGTTAGCTTTTCCAACAGTCCGACATGACCCCATAAACTGTCCCGACATTGTTTCCGGTTAGCTTTTACAACGGTCCGACATGACCCCATAAACTGTCCCGGCATTGATTCCGGTTAGCTTCTCCATCGGTCCGGTGTGACCTCGTCAACTGTCCAGACATTCTCTGCTACAACGGTCTGACACGACCATACAGTGTCTCCTATCCTGTTTTATTTTATGTATTAGTCTATTTTCTTGTTTTTGTTACTCTCTCCAAACTCAAGTTGGTTAGTTCCTATCCCCCTTGAGTTTGTGGGGGGCTGTAAAAACCTGCCACTACCACTACCACCTACTACACCTACTCCACCCACTTCACCTACCCCACCTACTCCACTACATCAACAATCAATAATACATCAATTTTAACAAGATGACTGGCTACTATTGAATAATTTTTATTCCCTTTGCAGTTTCACCTATGTAGCTTGAGATATTATAGGTTTCTAATTGCTTCTTAGATGTGTTATATAGTAAGGCTAGATATTTGACTGACTATTATGGCTTGTAGCTTTCAAGGCAATCATCAATATCATGATCTTATCCAGCTGGTTTAATAGGAAGTTTAAAAATAGTTTGCATGCCGAGCCTTATGTTCTTCAAAGTTGTGCCCCTATCTATGTTATGAGTAAAATATTGTGCAGCAATGCAGTTTGGCAGTGACATGGAAATCTTATCTCTAAATTCTATAGCCATGAATGCTTGTAGTTTTGCAAATTGTTTGTCATGAGTGACTGGACTGTCTAGGTGCTTTAGGTTACCTAGATCTCTTAACTTCAACTGTGGTTAGATCTGTATTGCATTGTTGATGGTTTTCTATGAAGCACGTGTACAGGTACAAGTATTGGTACGATACGAGTAGCTTGATACAATCAAATCTAAAAAAAAGTATTGTATGTGTATGGTTGGGTACTTTTCTAAAAAATATTTATTTTTGATTTGGAGTAATGCAAAAATTAGTTAAATGGTTTAGTTTGTTAAGATCCAACCTACAATTCACATTTAATGTCAAAAAGTAAAAGTATAAATCCAAATTAAATATCATTATATTAAATAATTTACAAACAATAGTTTAATATTAAAATCTTTCTCAGCATTAAAATAAATACATAAATAAATTCTAGTGAAACTAATTTTACCTATGTATTAGAAGAAAATATTGTTTTGTTTGAGCAACAGTACGACATGGGTATACACTAGGTACGCCTGGGGTATGACAAAAATTAAGGAAAAATTTGGTACGTGTTTCGTGTATTCGGTACGTATGCAGAATCATCATACGAAGTATCAGTACCCGGTATAGGTACGGCGTATTTACTAAAGTACCAATGCTTCATTGTGGTTTATATGAGTTCTATATATATATATAAATTTTTGTAGTTGTACCCTCATCTTTCCAAATATTATAATATGACCCGCGAAATTAGTTTTGGAAAATTAAATAAGACATTGTGTGTCCCAAAGCGTATCCCAACTGTGTCCTCGTCGTGCCTAGTGAAAAGCAATTTAAAAAAAAAAAAATGAGCATCCATGTGGCATGTTGGACATGTGTCTCCAACTAAGAAGCACGAACATGGACATTGGCACGGATGTGGACATGAATACAGACATTGACACGGTGATTCCTAAAAAAATGGGGACACAACAATAAAATATATTTTCCATATATTTTTATTTGTTATGTAGATTAATAATACATCCGCAAATAATCAAAATTAATAAAAACTAACACTAATTCGATATTTATAAAAAACAAACTTTTAAATTAACACTCATCGTTTTTGTATTTTGACAGAATATGAGAAATCTCTTGTTAATATTCAACCAAAGAATGTACAGAAATATATAGGAAAAAAACTGAGGTATAAAAGGAAACTCTCCTAAGACCTAATCCCTATAAATCAGGGATATTAACATTCTAATTACAGAACATATACACAGACATATACACAGCTGTAATACACATTTTTCCCATCTATTGAGTTGACAAATCTTCACAGCCTATTCATACCATAATTACCGATTCTAACACTCTCCCTCAAGCTAGTGAGTGGATATTCTCCATTCCTAGCTTGCTAACGATAGATTGAAACACAAAACCATTCAATCCTTTAGTTAACACTTCTGCAAGTGGATCCTTGGTTGACACAAATGGGGTACAAATCAGTCCATGTTGCACAGGGTTATGTGTAATATTAATTGTTGACTTGTTATCACAATCTAGCTTCATTGGTCCTTTCCACGCAATCTTCTAGTCTTCCAAAATTAGTTTCAGCCATAGAAGCTCACAAACTCCCGATGCCATAGCTCTGAACCTGCTTCTGTGCTTGACCTTGCAACTACATTCTATTTCTTGCTTCTCCACATTACAAGATTGCCTCCAAGGAGTGTACAATAGCCTGAAGTTGATCTTTTGTCATCAACTGATCTTGCATAATCTGCATCTGTGTATGCTTCCAATGTTAATTCATTGCCTCTTCTAAATAATACTCCCTTTCTTGGCGTATTGTTTAAGTACTGTAGAATTCCATGTGTTGCTTGAAGATGTACTTCTTTTGGGTTGTGCATAAATCGACTCACTACTCCTACAACATAAGCTATGTCTGGTCTGGTATGAGAAAGATAGATTAGTTTGCCAACTAATCTCTGATACGATTCTTTATCCATCACATTTTAAGGAGCTTCACAGAGCTTGTGATTTTGTTCAATGGGTGTCTCCATTGGTTTACACCCTAGTTTCCTAGTCTCATTTAATAAATCCAATACATACTTCTGTTGGGATATAAAGATCCCATATCGAGAGTGAGCCACTTCAATGCCGAGGAAGTATTTTAACTTGCCGAGTTCTTTGACCTCAAACTCTTGCAAACTGCTTGTGATTTTGTTCAATGGATGTAGGTTTCGTCTGTACAGTGCTTACGTCATGCTGACGTCACCATACGGCTGATGACATCAGCACATCTCGGTCACCTCAAATTGATCTCCAGAATCTGTGGAACACTTTTTGATGAAGAATAGGTCGCTCTGATACCAAGTTAGAATGTAAAATGAGGAAATTCAGGGCTTCGAAGAAGTATAGAAAAGAAAAGAGGAATGAATTTTTATATATCTTATAATGTTGTGCTCAACCCTACATCAGTACATTAGCAAAATATATACACAAACCCTAATATTGCAATATGACCATCGTACCCTCAATTTCAGTAAATATTAACAATAGAACATAAATAACTATTCTAACAACCCCGATTAGGGGTAAAGCCTCTAAGGGCTTGAGAGAGAAACCAAGTTCTACTTCAATCACAATGTATATTCTTCTAATCCAAAACCAAGTACAATGGGTATTACATCACCTATTTATAGACTACAACTAATAAACCATTT